AAATTATCCCTCATGCTACGGGCCTGAAGGTCCAAAACCGTCTCCTTCAGAGTTTTGTTGTCCTGGGTGATCCGCGTCATTCCCTCCTCCAGGGAAGAAACGGACTCCCGCAGAGACGCGTTCTCAGCAGCGAGCCGCTCCACCTGCTCCTGGCTGAATTCCAGGGACTGGCGGAGGTTCTGAAACTCCTGGTGCAGAACCTCAAGCAGATGAAGACGCCCCTCAAATCCCAGAAGCCGTTTATCTATGGATTCTAATAATTCCAATATGTCCTTCCGGGGAGATGAGGCCTCAGGCGAGTCCTGAGGGCGGCTCCGCTTCGTCCCAGGTGTTTCAGGTTCACCTGCTGATTTCTTCGGACCCATAACAAATAACTCGAAAACTCCGTCAATAAAGTTCTGTAAACTTTCTAAATTTTCTTCACTTACCTCCAGATTGAGCGAGTTATACTTACCAGATTATTTTTTTTGCGTTGTCAGTTTTTAAATTAGGCAAAAATGCATCTGAATTGTTTGTGAATGTTTGCTAACGAGCTGCCATCAGCTTCAAACGCTGCTGTGTCCGGTAATCGGCCGTCAGCGCATGCGCATCCTCCTCCAGCACACCGGGGAGATGGTCCACTTAACGCACGGGTGTAGACTACATATTAATGACAAATGAATGAAAATTAAATTGTGAGGTTTTACTTCATATTTTATAAATAAAAAGGACGGGGGAACACATTTATGACGAAAATTTCTAGCGCGACCTGCCTGCTTCACTTAAGTCACTGCTTATTAAGGTCCGTCCAAAATTACCGTGGGAAATGGGTAATAATGGCTCTTTGATGGGAATAGGTTGCCGACCCCTGGTATAAGATCTGAGCTGGTAAAACAAAAATCCTCATCAGCAGGCTTTTTTGAAAGTGGGGGGGACACAGCTGCCAATCACAAATTTTGCCGGGGACATGTCCCCGGCGTCCGCGGTTAAAATGATGCCTATGCCAGAGGGAAATTAGAGTTTCAGTACACATAATTCAGAGATCAGACATACATGGGCAAGACACATGACAAGAATTGGTGACTGTGGTCATTCCATCGACATATAATTATTGGGCAATGGGTTTCCATAGATCCAATAATAAGCTAAACTGGGAGGTGGCCACCACCGCCATTTTGACCGTGTCACAGGCTCCGTCAAGCCCAGACAATTCCACAAAAGGGAAGAGAGGTGGAGCTGAGGGTGGGGCTGTAAGGCTGGGATCAACTGACGACACCCGGTCGAACTAGCTACAATCTAACCTGAAGCTAACCCAAAGCTAATGCGGAGGTGGGAGCTAAGCTAACGGAGGTAGTAACCTAGCTACAACCGGAGTTAACTGTGCACAACACCAGAAAACCCCCCACCTCAGACAGATATGCAACAGACTTCAGACAACACAACATGAGACTCCAATAGGTAGGCGGGGGGGGGGGGGGGGGGGGGGATCCTGTTTCCCCCAGCGAGAGCAGCCATCTACGGTGCTCAGCCACTGTAGTCACAGGTGGGAGGGAGATCTTGGGAGAAGCGCAGAGCACATTGACTCCTGCAGGTTGACGACCTCGCCAGGCTGAAGTCCACCAATCTGAAGGGGGTGTGGGGTGGGGATGGGGGGTGGGGGGTGGGTGGAGGTAGGGCTTTCACAGCATCTGTCTGCATCTGTCTGCATTCCTTTGTGTGGGTTTGTTGCTAGCCACTCAAGGCTGCTAGTGTGTCAGATTCAGATGACAAGACTTTGTTTGGGTCAGGCTGAGATAATTTTGCTCTCTGCCTTCGGTCTTTAAACTGATCATTCTAGTCCTTCAGTGAAGCCAATTTGGGTTTTTAAACTTGTCCATACCGTCCGGTGACTCTCTCCAAGATGACATCCATTTTGCGCACTAATACCGGTATCGTTGCTAGAACATTGTCCAGCTTACGATTCACTTCGAGTAACGTCCCAGTCTGTGAGGTCTCCACACGAACAGTGCTTTCCGTGTGTGCGGGTCGCCCTCCAATCGCTCCCGTCTTCCCAAATTTCCAGAAAAAATTTGAACCGTTATAAAGAAAGAACTTTTATAATAATGAATACAATCCCATTAGTTGTCATACACATTGATGTGTGTGCGAAATTTGTCCTCCGCATTTGACCCATCCTCTGGGGGAGCGGTGAGCTGCAGACACAGCCGCACTCGGGAACCATTTGGTGGTTTAACCCCCCAATCCAACCCCTTAATGCTGAGTGCCAAGCAGGGAGGCACTGGGTCCCATTTTTTCAAAGTCTTTGGTATGACCGGACCAGGAATTGATTCCTGATCTCCCAGTCTCAGGGCAGACGCTCTACCACTAGATCACCGATCTGAATACTGAATGATGAAATGCAGAGGTGGAAAGAGTGCAAAAATTCACTACTTAAGTATGAGTACCAATACTTTGATAATTTTTTACTCAAGTACAAGTAAAAGTACTTGCCTAAATTTTTACTCAAGTAAAAGTAAAAAGTATCGTAAATAAAATGTACTCAAAGTAAAAGTTACTTAGTTACATTTTTGTCAGCGTAATGATGGCTACATCTAAGTAGTGCAAAATCACAATGCAAGTTCACAATTCGCTCACACACAGACACACACACACACACACACACACACACACACACACACACACACACACACACACACACACACACACACACACACACAGTTTGATGGAAGGATTTCAATCCAATCAGCGAGAACAGGACGTGCACATTGATTGGACGAGGTTTATCTAGGATTGTATGTTTCAATTGTGATTAAAATTATTCTTTATTTTTAAAAATAAATTTTATTTTTTAGATGCCATCAGTACGTGGGGTATCTCAATGTTTTCATGACAAAACTCTAACATGAGATTGTGCTCTAACCTGTCACATAACAAGCCAAATAAAATTCAAACATTTCAAATGGACCGTATGACAGCTGTTAACGTTAGCCCTGCCCTGCTTTACCTCTACAATAGTTCCTTTATTCATGTCCATCCTAGAGCTCCTCTCTGACTCACACACTTATTTAGAGCAGCTGATTTTTAAAGCTAGCAGAGTTCATCCTTGGTGGTGGGTTCACTCACTCATTTAACCCTTCACCACTGAAATCAGTTTGTTCATTCCAATCCTCCTAAATAATCCTCCAATCATCCAACTGGAATCCTTAAGGGTTCCGTAACATCCATCCTGTCAGAATAGGCCTTGGGAGCCCAGGTGTTACTAGAACTAATGGTGTCTCCTCACCAGCGTGAGCCTCCAAACTGTGAAGGTTGGTCTCCAAACATGAACTTGAAATTCATGCATTTATCTCCTCTTGTAACACTTTAACTTGTTTTAAAAGGCTCGTATCATGATATGTTACACCTCCCAGACCAAAGATAGGTCCAATATGAGATAAAACATTATCGTAGACACTATTGAGACGTCATTTATGAAACAGAAGTAATTTTTATTCACCATTACTTCAACCAAGATTTAAGATGCATGGATTTGATGAAACCACTCTGTCTCATGCAGTCCTATATGTGTAACACACACACACACACACACACACACACACACACACACACTTTGATGTGAGGAGTTACGCTGCCCCCTGGTGGCTGAAAAGGAAGTAAATTTGATCAAATAAATCACAAAGTGCTTCAACATTAAAACTGAATGAAATACAAGGAGAAAAAATAGAATAAGGCAAACAATAAACCCGGGTATAAGCACGTTTGAAAAGGATTCAACAGCGACGAGAGACAGGAAAAGCTTTACCGCTTTGGGAGCAATCTTCATGGGGCTTTAATCGGGTTTTTGGGACCACCAGTAATATCTGATCTTCCAGCATTCCAGAGTGTAGATTGGCAGCAGATCAGGTAAATATGAGGGGGCTTGACCATGCAAGGCTTTAAAAGTAAAAAAAAGGATTTTAAAATGAACTCTAAAATTCTGAGGAAGCAGTGAAGTGAGACTAGGACCGGAGTAATGTTGTAACATGATTGCTTATGAACTCAAGATAACAGACTTGCACTCATTTTCGCTGCTTAAGTTGAATACCAGTGAAGAGACTGTTGCAGTAATCCAGCAGCAATGAAACAAAAGCACGAACGATCCTTTTCAGATCGGACTTTGACACAAAAGTTTTTAATTTTGAGATGTTCCGGAGATGAAAGCAGCAGTTTTCAACAAGTTGATTAGAATGCTGTTCAAGACATGTCAGAATAAAATGTAACTCCTATGCTTCGTACAAAGGGTTGGACAAAAGAGAATAGGGAATAGTTGCTGCATAACAGGGATTTCCTTGTCTGGAGCAACGAGAGCCTCCGTTTTGTCTGCATTCCAACTTAAGTCATTTTCATTTAACCACTGCTTAATTTCAGACAAGCAGGTGATTAGTGCAAATAATTTATGGAGCTCATTTGAACCTGGAGCAACACAACTGAATGTCAGCATAGAAGCGGTAAGATAGATCACTGAGTTTACTGAGAAACTGAGAGAAAGCAAATATAAAAGACAAAGGATTGGTACCAGAACTGACCCCTGGGGTACCCCACAGATGGGCGTCTGTACAGACTGCAACTAATTTATGGAAATGTGCAAAATACTGCCATAAAGATAAGATGAAAACCAGTTTAAAACCACTCCAAAGAGGCGGACAACATCCAGTAATTGGCTTATCAGAATGCCATAATCCACAGTATCAAATGTGAGAGATCCAACAGGCAGCAGGCATCAGGATGTCACTGGACGCCCTTAGCAGAGCTGGTTCTGTCCAGTGACTTTTATGGAATCCTGGTGACAATCATTTAGGAGTGAGTGGCTCTCCAGAAGGTCTTTTACCTGCTCAGCCAGAGCAAAGGTAGCTTAGAGATGGTCCTAAACTTTGGCGACTGTGAAATCACACCATCATGCACCCAGATGACAGAAATCAGGTATAAAAACACAAAAAATAAAATAAAGCCAAATTAAAAGCAACCAAAACAAACCGTAACAATGTCTATGAAATGCATTTAATTTGCTTCTTAACACCTTACTCTATTGTTTTACATACGTAGAAAAGAACACCTCTCAGTAAGGTGCAAAACATTACAACCATTTAAATCAGTTTTCAAATTTACAGATGACCCCGTGGTAAACAAACACTACTGTGAGCTCGTTTCTGCACTAAATGAAATAAACAAAACAACCAGATTCATTCAACCGAGCATGAAAAACAACTTCCATTTTTGCTGACATTCAATACATGCATTTCTATTTCCTTATTTTCTACAAGGAAGCAATCTGCCCATCACATGATGGCTTAAAACAGGATTAGAGTCAACAGATTACTGCTGCATTTGTTGTCTCAGTGAAGCTCTATGAGCACAAGAATGACGTTTGACCTGGTTTGACCTTAATTCTCCCAGAGAAAATAAAGATCGACTTAGATCTTTGTTCGAACATCTTACTAGGTAAATGCTTTAAGCTTGTGTATTTGTCAAAAAGTAAACTGGAGTGTAGCTTTCTGGATAAATATAAGATGTAAATATATTTTTCTAACAGCTCAGAATCACAAAAAGTAATGGAGTTCAAGTTTTTGGGGGGAAAACAGGTGTCAGATTTCATCATTGCCTCACAGGGACTCTGTAAACATGTTGGCTATACTGATATGGAGTTACAGGACTTTTCCAGTAGTTAAAAAGCTGAAAACGTAGTTTTATTTTGCAGGCCCAACTTGTGTTTCTAAGTGTTGTCAGTGGTAAACTTAACCCTGTGCATTTTTTAAAAAGTAAAAAGACAAAAATATTAATATAAAGACAATCTGAGCTCTTTCATCATGGATATTTTCACCAATATTTAAAAAAAAGCGACAATACAAGCAAGACGTCAAACTCTCTTTGACTTAAAAACGTCCATAGCTGGCTGTAAACGCGAGTGAACCACCCTCTTAGATTCAAAAGAGCACAGTTTTTTGTCCTAAAGTGACCAACACGTGTGTGACATCTGATGCTTCAGCCCAGAAACGTCAGTCCTGCCATGATGGTGAAACCCAGCAGGAGGAAGAACACCTTTAGGAGCTGGTTCCCAGCTGAGTTCAGTTCATGAGGAAGGATCTCCATGAAGGTGATGTAAACAAACGTTCCTGCGGCGAGTCCCTCCAGGATGGCCTGGATTAGAGCTCCAGCCGCCAACTCGGCCTCCATCACACTGATGCCAATGGCGATGCCTATTGGTGACATCATGGAGAATATGACGAGGTACGCAGCCACCCAAAAGGGAGGAACTGCGCTTTGGACCAGCTTCAGGGATAGGCTGAACACGATGATGCTCTTGTGGACAAGAATGGCGATGCAGATCTCTAAAACCTGCAAAGATGAAAAAAAAACCAATAAAAATCATGTGTTATAAAGATTAAACTGGCAGTCTGTCCGTTCACTCATGTGATACCGATGAGAGATTACTCAGAACACTTCTGACTGATCTGCATTATTGGAGCTTTAACCTGTTTAACTGGCTGATACGTACATTTGCACCTATTTAATGAAGGATGTTTGCTTTCTGAACTGTAAACTGAAAGAAGTCTTACAAATAGGTATGGTGCAAAGGTTTTAAACCTCCTTCTAAAGATGCACTAATTCAAAGATCTCTAGGTCTTTTTAACGGTGTTGAACACTCATTTAATCAATCGTTTCCTGTGGTCTCTAGTAGGAGGAATACCACGTAAGTCATACTCTGGGGATAAAAAGCCCAGAAGTACCTGTATCAGCAGCATGGAGAGGTCAGCTGGAGGAGTTCAGACGGCAGGCTTTGGAGTCTTATTTCCTGATATTTGGACGTCTCATCTCTGATTGGATAACAACAACACGATTCTAACACTGACTCAGTTTGCTCTGCAATGTTGATGTTTTATCTCCTTAAAAATAACTAATGCCTGGAGGAGTTCTGCTGTGTGGTGGAGTTGCTAATGCTAATGGTTAGCTTGTACTAGCCAAGACGTTCTCTGCAGTTTCCCGAACGCTAAACCAACAACAGCCTTCCCCATTGTGAGTGAAGATCAATCAATCAATCAACTTTATTTATATAGCACTCTATCCTACAATACATGCAACTCAAAGTGCTTAACAAATTAAAAAGGCCCACATACCCACATTCCCTCCCACCCCCAGAATTTTAAAAACCCCTTCACAACACTCATCCTCCGGCACGCACACACACACACCGTAGAAAGACACAAACATGCCCCCCCCCCCCCCCAATAGATAAATAAATAACCTAATTAATTAATCAATTTATTTAAAAAGTGATAGTAATCAGTTAAAAGCTAAGCTAAAAAGATGGGTCTTGAGCCTGTTTCGTGGGTTCATACGGTAAAAGCAGTTCTGAAAGATAAGAAGGCCCAAGACCGTTAAGACACTTAAAAACCGTTGAAAGTATTTTAAAATCGATCCTGAAACATACGGGGAGCCAATGCAGCGTGTTTAAAACCGGAGTATTGTGCTACCGCCTCCTGGTCTTTGTCAGGACACGTGCTGCTGAGTTTTGTAATAGTTGTAGACCTGAAATTCTCTCTTTAGGAAGACCAGAAAGCAGGGCATTGCAGTAGTCTATCCTACTGGTGATGGAAGCATGCATCAGTGTCTCCGTATTGGCCCGAGAGAGAATGGGGCGGACTCTGGCGATGTTCTTTAGATGATAAAAATCTATTGTGGTTATATTTTTAATATGATGGATAAAAGTCAGCTCAGAGTCAAAGGTGACACCCAGGTTCTTCACTTGTGAAGATGGATTAAGAGACAGTGATTGTAATTTTGGTAAAAGTTTCTCTCTCTGGGCCTCAAGACCGATAACTAAAACTTCAGTTTTGTCCTGGTTGAGCTGGAGAAAGTTTTCTGCCATCCAGGATTTGATGTCTAAAATGCAGTTGTGTCATCAGGAGCCAGAGATGTACAGCTGTGTATCATCAGCGTAACTGTGGAAATTCACCCCGTGTCTCCCGATGACACTGCCAAGAGGGAGCATATAAAGATTAAAAAGCACTGGGCCTAAAATTGAACCCTGGGGCACACCACATGTAATCCTATGAACCCTAGAGGAACAGGTATCCAAACTCACCATGAGGTGAGTGAACAATCGGTGAACAGCACCAGAGAGGCCGATCTGTTTTAAACGAGATAAAAGAATAGTGTGGTCTACTGAATCAAAGGCAGCGCTTAGATCCAGTAGAGCCAACACAGTCACCCTCTGGGCATCATAATTTACTCTAAAATCATTTAAAATCTTCAGAAGGGCAGTCTCTGTGCTGTGGTTGACCCTGAAACCAGACTGAAATTTTTCTAAGACATTATGGGTGTTGATAAAATCATTAAGTTGAATTAAAACAAGCTTTTCTAAAATTTTGCTTAAAAATGGTAAGTTGGATACCGGTTGATAATTGTTTAAATCATTAAAATCTAAATTGTTCTTCTTCAGCAGGGGCCTCACCACCGCCCGTTTAAAAGCGGCAGAAAAACCCCCCGTCTGAAGGGAGCAATTCATCATGGTTAAAACCTCATCTCTAAAAGAATCATAAAATTGTTTAAAAAACCTTGTGGGAATAGGGTCCAGGACACATGTGGTGGGCCTCACTGACGAGAAAGCTTTATCAAGACTCTCAGCTCCAACCAGAGCAAAACTGTCCAGTGTTTCCTCAGGTAGACACACACTCTCAGATGTGTCTAAAACCGCGTTACGTTGAGAGGATAAAATGTTACATCTGATGGCGTCTACCTTCCCTCTGAAGTGGGCTGCAAACTCCTCACAGAGGGTGTTTGAGGGGGTTTTCTGAGTTGAGTTTGGGTTAGAGTTGAGAATATTATTGATTGTGGAGAAAATAATTTTAGGGTTATTTTTATTGTCTGAGAGGATTTTGGAAAAGTATGCATTTCTTGAATTCCTTGCAGCGTTATTGTATGTTTTTAGTAGTTTTGAATATATCTGATGATTTATTGCTAATTTGTTTTTCTTCCATCTCCTCTCCGCCACTCTGCAGGTTCTCTTTAGTTTTCTTAAGTTTTCATTTCTCCAAGGTGATGTACGGTTTGATTGTAAGTTTTTGGTTTTGAGTGGAGCAAGCAAGTTAAGAGCTGACTCAAGTCCTCTGTTAAAATCATTGATAATCAAATCACAAGGGGCGGAGATGTTAGTTGGAGGGATATTACTAAAAGCTTCGAGAAAACCAGCAGCCACTTCAGGGGTTAGATGACGCTTCCTTACAGTTCTCACAGAGGGCCCGCACTGGATAACGCTGTTGATGTTAAAAAATATGCAATAGGGACCGGACACTGCCAAGTCGACAACAGAGGACACACCAGCGGACAGGCCATACGTGATGACCAAGTCCAGGGTGTGTCCTCTGTTGTGAGTTGGCTGCGTGACATGTCGGGTAAAATCCATATAATTCAAGATGTTTAAAAAGTCTGTGACTAAAGGGTCTAAAAGGTTATCCACGTGCAGATTAAAATCTCCAGCTAAAATAATCCTATCTAAGGAGTTGTGTAAAATTGATAAAAACTCTTGAATAAAAGGTGCACTCTGTTTAGGAGGCCTGCAAACAGTGACACATAAAATCTGAGGAATGCTAAAAGTGGCTGCAGTGTATTCAAAAGTGTTAAAATGATCAAATAAAGCAGGTTTTGCTAAAAGTGTTGATGAGCTTATAAAAGCAGTCCCGCCTCCCCTTTTCCCATTCTTCATTGAAAAATTGAAATTAAAATCAGGTGGGGAGGCCTCTGTGTGAACAAGATGGGTGACTCCATGAACGTAAAGTGACAGTGTGACGTAGATCTGTCAGGCTTTTTAGAGTTTAACCGTCTATTTTCTACCAGAAGCTAATGCAGGAGATAGGTGTAGGAGACTACATGGGCATGGGAGACTGGGCTGCATGGTGACGCAGTGGTTAGCACTGTTGCCTCGCAGCACGAAGGTTGCAGGTTTGAAACTTGGCTGCGGCCTTTCTGCGTGGAGTTGCGTGTTCTCCCCATGCATGCGTGGGTTTCCTCCGGGTACTCCGGTTTCCCCCACAGATCACAACATGCCTTATAGTTATAAATTGTAAGTCGCTTTGGATAAAAGCGTCTGCTAAATGAATAAACATAAACTATTTTTCTGTTCAGCCTGCATGAAAAACTCAGTGATCGATTATAATCAGAAATAATGATTTAAAATGTTTCAGTGAACCACACCTTTAAAGAAATAATCAGACAATTTTATTTTCCTTTCTCTCTCTCTCTCTATATATATATATATATATTTATTTTTTTTTATTTATTTATTTTTTTTACAAATTATCAGTTTAGTTCTTGTGTCTGACCATGACAGCACGTTGTGTCAACTGCTTAAATGAAATATCATATAAAAGTTTAATTCAATTGTCCAACAAGCATTTTATCCACCTGCTAAGTTGCAAAAATACCAGGAGAGTAGGCGAGGAGCCCTGAGGTAAAACCGACAGGAGGCTGATTTAGGCCGTCTTGTGATCAGCATCACGCGACCGAATGATTCATTTCCTCTCTCTGCATTCTGGAGCTCAAAACTGAAAGTTTCTTCTGTGCACATTTACACAGTCTGAATGCGACTCCAATCTTACCTGAGCAGTACTTTATCAGGATTAAGTAAAAGAGGAACCAATGACAGGAAGCATAAACGAGATATCAGGTTCTCACCTTTGAGTCGGTGCTCTGCAGGCCGATGGCCAGGCCCTCAAACACCGAATGAAGAGAGAGTGACAGGAAGAGCATGAAGGAACGAAACGGGGAGTGAGCCTGGAAGTCCACGTGGACGTGATGGCCGCTGCTCTCCAGGTCGGGGTTCGGGACGCCCCCGTGACTGTGTGGCCCGTGGCCGTTTCTGTTTCCTGTTAAAAGTGGCGCCCTCTCACCATGGAGCACTCTCATTTCCCGGCAGTTCAGGACAATCTTCTCCAGTATGAGCACCGTGAAGAAGCCAGCAGCCATGATGAACTCCGGCAGGGGAAAACTGGACTGTTAAGACCCATATAAAGATTTTAGTCAGATGATGACAAACATTAATAGATTTAGGTGAATCTAAAACATACTGGTGTTGATGATTTACATGGATGTGTGCAATTTAAAGTTAATCAGAAATGATACAGTAAATCCTCAAATTCCAGATAAAAAATGTGGGACTTTAGTTCTTTTAATATCATTTAAGTATACATCTGGAGAATGTGAAGTGCTGGTTTGATTAAAAACAAAAAAGCTACAGTAAATGTTTCAAAGTCACTTTTTCTGCTCTGATTCAGTCTGAACTGAGCCATACCTCCAGAGAATTGAGCTCGCTACTGATGTCTGACAGATAATCTGGAATGATGTCGAGCAAACATGCTGCCAGGAAAACTCCACCAGCAAAGCAGCTGATCAGGCTCAGAACTGTTCGATGGGATTCTGGAAATAGGAAAAAAAAAAGTGTCAAGATGAGCTCCAAATCATAGTAAAGATGGCTGCAAACTGGTTATTCATTTCAGATGTTTTAATTTCTCAGAAAAGTATTAATAAATATATTTTAAAGAAGATCTTTATACTTTGTGAGGGTTTAGCTGTATCTGCACATACTCTGGTAAATTTCCTCAGATCTGCTTCTGGTGCATCATGTGATCAATCCATACAAACAGCTCAGCTGTAATGAATAGGTTGATGCTTTCATTTCCATGTGAGAAGGAAAAAAGTTACGTTTCTTTTTAAAATAACATTTAATTAAATATAATCACGTGGTATAGGACCTCCAAGCCATATCATGTGACTTCTGCCAGGGCTGAGAGAGACTACTGCCACTAACATTAATAACTTTTTAAAAGGCAGTTTACACTAATATTTATCAAGTGGGGTTATTCTTCAAACTGTGCCGAACTTTAGTAAGCCACATAAAGATATTAATAATAAATACCAGATGGAAATAAGGAATTTAGAATGTTTACGTTTTGAGATTGTTTGACAATTAATCAAAGTTTAAATGGGACTTTGGTTTTGATTTATTTGTTATTTAATCTCAGTGACATAATTATCACTGATCACAGTAATAGCTTATGAGCAGCAAAAACACGTGATTCACATGTACATACAGTAGGATAGCATGCTTTCTTAAGTGATGTGGATGGCCTTATCTCTTAGGAGGGGCCTTTTCACCAAAGTCTGTTCAAACTGTCAGCAATTTAAGCTCGTCTTCTAGTCTGCCTATTAAATACACGGTGGAAGCAAAACGGAAGCCGAAAATTTAATCAAAAATGATCCTCTTTGATTATCGGCATAACCGTGAAGAAAAATCCATAATATAATACACAATAAACGTAGGGACATTATGGATACTTATTCTAAACACAACATGTAGAGTACCAACCTGTCCCGATGTCTCTGAACCACTGGAGCTTCGCAGGAATAAAACCAAAAAACAGAGTCAAAAGTAGCAGACCGAACAAAACACCGATTTTTACTTGAAGCAGGTATTCCATCGTGTCGTTTAAACTGTCAGTTAAAGAATGAGATTTCGTTGTCTGACATTGAACTAACGACAGAATGAATTAATAGCGTGCTAACATGAAAACAGAGCAACTGGAGCATGATTGAAACCAAACAGCACTCAAATATTTATTTGTCATGAGGGCTACGGTAGCCGAGGAGGGTCCAACAATGCGGTTTTGAGAAAGCTGAGACGAGAGCCGAATTTAGTAAATACGTTCATCAAATTAATTGTTGGTGTGTGCCCTTTTCTCAACACTTGAAGTAAGATTTAAAAATCTTTTACAAGACTGGTAATTTATTTGGCATCCAATCTACGGAAGAGGATTAGGGCCAGTAAAAAGATAAAAAAGAGAATTTTGACATTTTTCTCAGAATTCTGACTTTAATCTCAGAATTCTAACTTTAATAATCCTGAGGGGGAAAAAAAGGTCAGAATTCTGACAAAAAAGTAAGAATTCTTCAAATAAAGTCAGAATTCTCTTTATTTTCAGTGACCCTAATCCTTTTCTGTACCAATATTGAGAAATTTAGTAACTAACATTTGTCATCATACTCATGGCAAATGTATTTAAAAAATAAAGAGTATGCTTTTAAAGATTTTCATTGTCTTCCTACAATTCTAAGTTTAATTATTTATTTTGTATATTTTTTGCGTGTGTTGTTGTTTTTACACTGATTAACTTTTTTGTTGGATCTTAATTCAGAATCGGTGCCATTGTCAACAAAGTAAATCAGAATCAGAATCAGAAAAGGTTTATTGTCATTGTCAGTGAACAAACAATTCACAAACTAGGAACTATAACTAAATAAATCGCAATAACACTTTTATAGAAAGAACAAAAATGATTTATGTTTCTATCACCAATCCTTGATAATAACGTTTTAAAGTGAATTAATTGCTGACACCGCCTGAAATACAGTATGACCTTTATGTCTGAAAACGGTCAAGTTTGAAACCAAAATCAGTAATTAATCATTTTGACCAGCAGATGGAGCCACTACTGCAAATTTTTACCACATCTGCTCGTGACGTCATATCCGCGCGCCGGATATGGCCTCTCCGAAGCTTCTGAGTGGTGATGTGTTTCAAGAGATTGCACCGCAGGCTGACATCAGATTGAATTTTGACATTAGCAGAAATAAAACGGTGGTGGATTTGAGGTCCACGACAAAGAAGAAGCTGCGGAGAAAACCGACAGCAGCGAAACACGGAGCGAATGGCGGTGAGGAAACAGAAACGCAGCTGGGCAGACTGACAGGAACACTCATTCTCTTCTGTAACTGACAGTCTGAAGCTGAAACAGCACTAATGTGCAGACGGACCAACACATTATGACTACAAGCCAATAAACGAGAATAACATTAGGTCACACATTTCTTTCTGTTACTTTTAATTGTAATGCTAATTTAATTTCAACCTGGGAACTCCCATAATGTACAAAAACCACGGGAAGAGTCGAGTTGGCCCCACAGATAGCAGAAAAGTTACTGAATACCGTTTCTAAACTACACTGATAGACCCTAGGGTCTTTGGTAATTTGTTACAATATCTTGATTCAATGAAATTTCTTTAGCTGCATCTATATAAAATATCAAAGAAGACAGATTGTACCACCACACCGATTCCTAAAAAGAAAACACTCATGATAGCCCTATAAAATAACTCAAACCGCACAGAGTTAAAGATGTAGTAGTGGGTCTAATGTAACATTTTACAGATAAGAACTGATTTCTTCATCTCACATTGCAATAATTTTCTAGAACTGATGATGGTAGCAGAACATGTGTTAGATAAAAACAAGGAGAGTCTCATTAGTTAGAAAAACATCTAATCCTGAGAAGAGTGGAGCCAGTGAAACAACATTGTGTCTTACTGTTATCTCTATTGATTTTTTTCTGAGAGGATTTGCCATCAGGATAAAGAAAGTGTGCTTCTGTGAAACTAGCTTGGTAGTAAAACGCTGTGTCTGTGTGTCATCCTGAAGCCCAAAGTTAAAGTTGGCACGAAGGGAAAGAAGCAGATATTCGAGGAGAATGAGGCGACGCTCAAGTTCTACACAAGAGTCATCCTCGGAGCAAATGTAAGATTAAAACACAACGCAACTGGTTATTTAAGAGTTTCACTAGTTTGCAGACAAATAAACCCAATGACTATCAGTCTAGATTACAATAATAACAAACGTGACAACATCGTCATTTTTATTCTTCTAGAGCACAAATGATACATTATTAAATCACATTTTGGGGATTTTTTTGTGTAAATGTGATTTTTGTTAGTTTGAGACATCTTGAGCTGATCATTTTTCTGTTGATCAAACGATCTAGACTGTGAGAGGATGCCCTCTGCAGGCCATATCTGAGCTTTTAGCCTGGATTATGTCTGGGAAGATCTAACACTGATCTTGTTTTGAAGAAACCACTTCCTGGTTGCAATGCTTATTTTCTTTCAGCACATTTAACTGTCTTTTCTTTTTTTTTTTTTTAGTTTCTTAATGGATGACTTAAGGCCAGATCGGATTTTTATTCATGATGCAGTTCTCTCATGTTCCAGATGAGCAAAAGTCGCCTTAAAGCAGAATAAAAACATTTTCTGGTGATTTTTTAATGTGTCAAACATATTTATGAATCCAACATTAGTATAATTTGTCATTTATATAATCGATTTATAGAATAATTAAATGTTTTGGGGGTAATAATTGCCATAAATAATCTTTATTCAATTCAAAAGTACTTTATTAATCCCAGAGGGAAATTAGAGTTTCAGTACACACAATTCTGAGATCAGACATACATACACACATGACAAGAATTGGTTACTGTGGTCAGTCGCAACTCGAGTCGCGCTACCGTAATAGATCAAGAGGGTTTATATGAGGATAGAGTCGGGGGGAGGGAACAAAGGCACTTCAGAGTTACCCTCCACAGAGAGGGCAACTTTGCTATGCAAAAAACACCTCAGACAGATATGTACACAGACTTCAGACATTACACAACATAAGTGTCCACTAGGTGGGGAAGTAGGGTTGGGACTCTCCTCACTTCAGTGCGTGCAGCCGCATGGAGCAGCGCTCATCACCTCCGTTTGGACAGGGGAGGGAGATAATGGGATAGAGAGCACATTGACTCCTAGATACGGTTCCACAGCCTTCACCGGTCACAGTCCCGCCCAGGCTTGGATAGGGATAAAGAGTTACCATAGCGACGACCCCATTCCACATTTCTTCTGAGGGGGAGTTATCACTTCAGCCTCACAGGCTCCAAGGGCACCAGATTCAGATAAGAATAGTTTTGGGGACAGACAGAGATAATTTCCTCTCTGCCTTACTGTTCTGTTGGTCTACAACCCCTCTAGATCCAATAATGGTGTAATTAATCAATCCCAATCCGTGCTGATCCGTCCACTCGCTCCTTGATGGAATCCACCTTTTGTGCCAGAGCCTGAATCTCAGCCAAAGTTCCAAGCTTACGACTCATCTCGACAATTATATGAGTTTGTGCGTTCACAGCATGATGCATTCCATCCCTGAGCTCCGGGATTGAGCCAATATTCCTCGAAAGCTTGTTAATTTTCCAGTAAGCCAGGTAACCGCTCAGGCCAAACAGCAGGAATCCCAACACCAAAACGACGAATATCCAGACATCTTCAGAATCCTCTACAGACAGTTGAGAGAGGCATATCAGGTTCCACTGTTTCCAGGAGTCCATGATATACCCAGCTGGCTCTGTCCCAGAGGGACATCCGGGAGCCCCTTCTCCCGTTGTCATCGTTGAAAAAAATTTAGTCAATCGCGTTGAGAAACCAACTGACAAGATCCATTTTTAATAATTTCCAGTTTCCAGAAAAAATGCAGAAAGCGCCGTGCACAGACAGGACAAAGAGCCTTGGGATAAGGAGGAAGGGAGAGGAGAAAAATGTGTCTGTACTCTCCAAGAGCATGCTATTGTAGATCTCTTGGTAGCCTCTTTAATGCATTTTCTACCTTCTTAGATAAACACTGAGTTCTAGTTGTCGTTGAAAATTTCTCGCCATTTTGCTCTTTGGCTGCATCTAAACAGTTTTTCCTTACAGGCGATCTATGCTGCTGTAAATTTACTGATTTTCTACGGTTCCTCTACATTCTGGACATGGGTGAGTGTGTTCTTATGTGTTAGTGTACACAGCAGCATGTCCTTTTCTGTTTTCAGACCTGTTTTGTTTGCTGTCTGTAGCTGATGCTGCTATTCGCCCTCGCCATTTATATTGGGAGTTACCGCTCCATGACGGCGATGGCCAAGCCGGCGTTTGCTGAGGACGGGAGTCTCCTGGATGGCGGAATAGACCTAAACATGGAGCAGGGAATGGCAGAGTAAGTAATAAATCAAATGCAAAGGGAAGAAACTCTGGCTTCTTTTGACCTGGAAGTAGAAGCCATGATGAAAAACTAAAGAGCACCATACCTGCTTCTTTTTATTATTTTCTTTATCAAAGGAAATGCTAAAAAGTAGTACAGTAGAGGCAGACAGAAAGTAATAGAAGTAAAATTTGAAAACGATAAAGACGCACATATTACACTGATTTTTCTAATTTCAGGCATTTGAAGGACATGATCCTGCTCACAGCTATTGTTCAAGTACTGAGCTCCATCTCCTCTTATTTCTGGTACCTTTGGTTGCTGGTAAGAGCTTATCCATCCATCCTGGCGACAGTTATTAATGCCTGAGACCCTGTTTCCTCTTTTTATTTTGATTTGTATGCTTTTCAGGCCCCCGCCCGTGCCCTGCACCTTCTCTGGGTGAATTTTCTAGGCCCCTGGTTCATGGCAGAAAGCCCATCAGCGCCTGAGGAGGTGAACGAGAAGAAACAGAGAAGACAAGAGCGCAGACGCCAGACGAGATTCTGATGCTGCGGAGCAGCCGGAGCAGTATTTTTATACAAAGAAGCTAATATACAGAAAAGCCAGGAACTCATGAGTTGTTCAGGAAGACGGTTTGTAATTTAGCGAAACGGCTGAAACCCGAGACCCTGGAATCTTGTTTTTCCATGTTTTTCTTTCACGTAATCTAATTTTCCCTAAATGATGAGCTGAAGTGTTCCCTGTTTAGATAAAAGTCACCATCCAAAAATCATTTTTCTTCGTGAGATTTAAGACGTTTATGTGTGCCTCCCAGCTGATTTGTTTTCTGAGACAAGTCTTAACACCTCTGATGGTTACGCTTTTGTTTTGACGTGTTTGATTTTATTTTCTAAGGCCCCAGCAGACGTTTGTGTGTCTTTGTTAAAAAAAATCACAGGTGGGTTTTGTGTTGGATGACTGGATTGAGTTTTAATGAGAGGGAACAATTTTTGCAATAAAATTCTTTTATTATTCTGATGGTTTTATGTTTGAAAACCATTCAGTTGTGATGTCAAAAGTTTTTTTCATTTCACATCAAACTTTCTGAAGCCTGCATGATTTATCAAGGCAAACCGAATAAACAATTTATGCACAAATCTAATATTCTTTAGGAACTTTGTCTGAGTGACAAATATTTATCAGAAAATAATATAATTAACACGTATTTCCTCACCTCTTATACCTACATCAAATATTTTTTTACATCAACTATTTTGACCAAATTTTAAAATAAAAGAAAACGAAGAGTCTAAATATTTTACTGACCAATATACCTATCTCCTTTTCTAAAAACTGCTCCAGACCAGCTACTTTTTCCTGAAGGTCAACATTTGTTGAGGCAGAAATAACCGCTCCGGGTGAAGAAGGGAACTGTCTCATGTTTGAAAAGAAGTTTTAAAAAGAATGATGTTTTTATGGTTGTGCTGAGCAGCACATGATAGAGGATTATTCTGTAGAAATGAGCTAAGTTGTTTAATAATGAAGGAGTTTTATATAAATGAAGTTGAGACTGGTGTCAGCTGCTTGGGTAGATTGTGTAGCTGTGACTCACTGATGGACTCAACATGGAGATCTGAGGTCCTGATTCACCATCAAACTGGGTTTGATTTGTCCTTTTGTAGATGAAACCATCAGTTTAGCCTTCTTTACAAAACCAAGTTTGGTAAAGAGGCTGTGATGTTTGTGTAAAACAACCTGTGTCTTTTGTGTCGGACTCATAACATAATTCAGATATTTAGCTTTTTGTTCTTTAATTGGGTCCAGAACCACCCAGGTGAGCCTGTCCTGAATTCTGCTGCACAAAATGAAGATGTTGCCATCTTCCTTTTGGATTCACTTGCTTTTTTATTGTTTTAAAGACCTTTAGTGATGTCTTTAGAGCTGATTAAGCTTCTGCCTGTGTGGATTAGAACACACTAATCTCAATGCTTGTTCCTGTTAAAGTAGATAAAATAAGTAAACAAATTAAGAACAGATTAGCCACTGATGAGTTCAGTTAATCTAAAGTCAATTTGTAAGTAATCAGAAACTAACCATTAAACCATAAACGAATCCTAATCTGTCTGAGGAAATGGGATCATGAGTTTATTACTAGGTAGGGGTTGATTAGGTCTTCATGACGTTAATAAGTCTTTACATGTTCACGTAACACTGTGTGTGGACTTCTACTTCTAAAAACTGGTAGCAGGTCTGGGAGATGATTTGAAACCATTTAATAACTCCAGGACCCCCCCCCCCCCCCCCCCCCCACACACACACACACACACACACACACAGACCCTAAATGACGCCTCTTGTCTACGACGGTTGGTTGTTAACTTTGCATGTTCACAGGTGCACGAGGCTGCGGTGGGTGTGTGAGATGTAAATGATGTCACCCTGAGGTGCAGCTCTCTTTGATCACTCTGAACATTTTATTGGCTGTACGATCTTGTCTGCTGACTCACAGGATCTCTGCAGTAAAAACTCAGTGTCTGTTCACACCTTCATCCTCTGAACAGTCCAAATATCAACTTTACGAATGATCACAGAAACATTTTCTGCTCAACAACTTATAAATCCACTCATTTAACTCTCTTCCCCACACTTAGTGTTACATGTGCAAATCAGTACTTAGACCGAGGAAGGATGGTACACATTAAAAAGTCAGCAGTGTGCAGATTTAACCAAACAGGCTCAGGTTAACGGTGTCCAGTATAAAATAAGAACTGCTATCCAAAAGTACACAAATAACATCATTATTATAGAAAAGTCCTACATAAAAATGCAAAAAATAAAAAAAAAACCTTTAGAAACATTTGATGAGTTCATCACTTTACTGGATTAGCAGAGCTTTCTGTAGGATGTGATGTTGTTCCAGTTTTCCAGATGTCTAAATCCTTCTTGCAGCTCAGCTTGGTAAATCTTTATCCTGTTCAAGTAAAATACCCGCATGTTTCATCTTGCTTTGCCAGTGTAGAGACATATTTAGTTGCAATTCTGCTGTGACCGATAGAGTTTGTAGCACAGACTGCATGTGAGTGAATCCTGTAACTTCAGGATTTGAATCTCTATTTACAGATTTTGAATAATATCAAGATAAAACGATAGTTCGCTAATCACTCCTGACCAGTATCACCAGTGTACATCTGACATGTTACATTTGGTGAATAAACTTCGGGAGAAATATTATGAACTGCAGAGCAAAGGTCTAAAAAGTGTTGAGGGACACCACCAATGTCATCATCATCATCATCATCATCAACCAGCTCACAAGAAACAAAATGGTTCTTCATTAAACATGGCAAGATTCAGATAAATGCAAATTAAACTAGAAATCAAATGTAAATTTAAAAATTCTTATTGAAGAAAACTAGAATTTTCAGCCTATGATGAAGACAAAGCTGAATTTTATAGATTAAATCTAAGGTAGAACTGCTTTTAAATCATTCATCGGTTTTCTTTAAATAACCAATCTTGTCCATTAGCCCATTTTTAAACCCCACAGTTTTGGCCGGCCAAACTCCAAGTGCCAAAAATTGTAATTCAGCCCTCATCCACTAGGGGCTTGCACCTGAAAGGAGCAAATCCTCATTGACTCCCATGTATAAAATGCCAACTTCACAGCAGAAATAAACATGAGCCTGGCTCAAAAAACATTTTAGGTTTAATAGATCTAGTTGACATTCATGACAACTCTGAGGGCGGTGAATATTTTGTAAACCTTCCGTTTAGGGGTATAATGTTAATGAATAGTATGTTGGGTTATGTAAATGGCTTTAAGAACTATTTATATTATTACCACCACTTGAGACCAATAAGCTGTGATACTCTATTTAAATACAGAATATTACCTTGCCTGGTCTTTATTTGTTTTAGTCAGAAGATTCTAGGATTCTTTATTCATTAGGGAATTATACACACTTCTTTTTGATTCAAGAAACAGTCAAGTTTATAAAAGTGAGGATTTATTTTTACAAACAATTAAAACTTGACAAACTGGTTAAACTATTATTTACTGTGAGTGGATGGAACTAAAAGGTGATGTGTGAATATAATATAGTCAGAATCTCCGTATCTCAGAGAGCTGAGTTCTGGATTTAAAAGAATTTGGTTTGTTTAAGCTATAAATAGATTATTATCAAAACCACATTCAGACGCAATCTCACTATGTTCTACGTACCTAAGCGGAGACGCCCTTTGGATCCGAGATGTCAGGAGGGAGTCGGAGACTCCGGTACCGGAGTCCGTAAACTAACTCATAGTACGACCAGGTCAGTCCAGGGTCATCTTCCAGGTAACGACAGTTGGAACTAGTTTCCGTCTCGGGAATAACTCTTAAGGGGTTATAACAATATCAGCTTTGTTCTGCAGGAAACTATCTTGTTGCTATCAGCTTCTCAGGTGCGAAAAAGTTAAAGGTTTTGACGACGTGTCAAAATCCTTGATGGTTAAAGAGGTTTTGCTCAGATGGCCAGTCTGAAGCTTGCTCTCAAACTGAAAAAATCACCAGCGTGATTTGGTTTTAATGTTATGATGTTATGGTTGTGTAGCCAACCAAACGTTACCAAGAATCTCAGAGACACACCCTCTTCGACCTGGAGTCTCTGAACTGGGCAAAAGGTTAACTATGTGTCAAGCGTTTACTTAACTTTACTTTGTTTTTGTGTGAGTGCAGATGGTGATGACCTTGTCAAGTAAACGTGCTAAACATATATCATTAAGCACAGATTAATGAAACGTTTCATTGTTTTATAATTATTATAAGTAGCAATAAACAAACGTTTATTTAATGATTATCTTTCATTTTAAAATCTTCTTTCGTCTGTGAATCGAGGAGTTCATTTAATGAGTTCCTCTCTAAAGGGACCTTGGTAGGAGAGAATGTTATTGTTTGATTTTATTATCTCTTTCAGGGCGTCAGGCTTTCAGTCTCCTGTGAGGGAAAATATTGTAGGTTGGAGTCGTAGCCAGGGCAAAAAGCATGACCTGGCTGTGGACTTGACCTGTAGGTCTCAAAATCAGGCCATTTCTTGATGTTACAGGGGTAATTAAATGCTTGAAATGATAAATAAATAGATTTGATTGACATGTAGCAAGAGCCTCAGACCTAGCGCTAGTCCTCGGCCTTGCGTCAGAAATGTTCGGCCATTTTGATTCTCTGTACTTCACTATATTTGTGTCTCCTCTGTGTTTGTGTTTGGATGTTATTTGTGCAATTGTTAGGAAAAAAGGCTAGCTGTTGTATTTATTACACCAAGAGAACTTCCAAGAAGTCTGTTCCATTTTCATTGATAAGCAAAACTGTATTTCTCTACATTAATTAGCTGTGAATATGGTAAAATCCTGTGAATTTACCATAACTCTGCTTTGTCAAAATGGGTTGAAATATGACATGTTGGTGGGGCTGGCTGGGTACTGAAACTCAAGCTAAGTGAGCTAACCATAACTAACAGAGGTTTTCAAACTCTGCTGGTCCACTGCGGTCAGAGATCCACAAAGTCACCCCAGAACGAGTGAAGATGGAGTTTCAGTGCCCTGTCTCTTGGCAGCGGCAGCTCCGTGATCAGAAGTCTGCAAATCTGCTGCTCCAGTCTCCTGGAGACTCTCATGGGCAGGAGCACCCGCGTGACACAGCCAGCCGGTTGCTCCAGTCTACCATGGCAGCTGAGCGACACAATCGCCTGACTCCCATGCAAGGTAGTCAAGCCTTGTTGCCTATGGAGCTCTCTAAAGGGAAACCACCAGGTTTCAAATTATGGGGGAGCTAAGGGGAGCTCGGCTCCCCCCAATGCTTCTATGTAATTCATACCCTGGAGACCACAGAGACACCAGAACTCTTTGAGTTTATGCGTGCTTCACTCTTGAGTCGCTCAACTGTGTTTTTCTGGCTAAAAGTGCCCAGTTAGCTCAGTTAGCTCGTAGTTGGGAAATTAATGGCTGACTCAGATCCTCAAAGCTTTGCATTTAGCTCCACCTCTTTGCCCTTTTGTGGATTGTCTGGGTGTGACAAGACTGGTGACATGGCCAAGATGGAGATGATCAGAACCGCTTACTAGGTTTTAAGTCGACGCCTCAGAAACCTATGGATGGCATCACAGAGGGTTTGTCCACATTCTTAAG